CTAGAGAATTGCATGTGAGACAATCTATTTTACTGATTTTGCCTTTGCCAAGGGTATGTTTATAGGATGTTATAGAGTTAAATTATTCCAGTTTCTTCTTTCTTTTATTGTAATTTAGCTACAATGTATGAATAAAAGTGCATTTTGTTTCAAGAGACTGGTAGTTTGAATTGCAATTGAATTGCATCCAGAATGTAACGCCTGTCACTTGCCACTTAAAAAAGAAAAAGTTAGGGTGTCAGCTAACATCTTGATATATTTTGAGGTGGTTTGATCTGGCCCATAACAGGAGGAATAAAAAAGCAAAACTTCATACATTTGTAAAGAGAAAATAGGGTTCAGCAGACTTGAATGAGTGTTTCTGATAAGATGGGTTGATGAGAGTAATTTGGTCACTGTGGGACAAATGGACTATCAAAAGTATTTGATAAAGTGTCTCAAAATAGGTCCATGAGCAAAATTAAAACCCAGAAATAAAAGGGACAATGTGTCCACAGATATGAACCTGGCTGAGTGACAGAAAACACGGAGCAGTTGTGAACAGCTGTATTTCAAACTGGAGAAAGTAATACTCTAAGGTTCAGTACAAAAACCACTGTTTTTCTCGTTCTATACTAATGGCCAAGATTAGGATCTGGAATGCACTGTCAGATGGTATGGTGGAAGCAAATTCTATCACAGTTCTTTTAACAAAGAAGGAACATTATTTGAAGAAAATAAATGTTGTAAAGGTTTGGCAGTGGGATAGGTGACTTGTACTTGAGGAGACTCAGCAGAGACATGATGGGCCAAATTAACACTTTCTGTGCTACAATCATTCACTGAGGGAGGCAGGCATCACGATACAAATTAAGGAAACAACTAACAAAAGGAGTGGTATTTTAGAAAGCTCATCAAATGGGAACATAGGAGTTAAATCTAAGAACAAGAAAGAGATGACACTAGCAGGAATACAATATTGCCTGTTTGGAGCCTGAGGGAGATGGAATAGCAAATATGTTGAAAAATTGCAAAGAAGTACAGAAACAACAAAGCAGGAGATATAATTATTCTAATATTAACAGATTAAAACAAAAATCAGTGTAAAAGGTAAAGAGGTCACTGAACGCTTAAAATTCATTCAGGGAAAACTTTTTATGCCATTACTTAGAAAACATAATATTAGGAGGAGCAATCTAGATTTATGTTTTTAGGAAATGAAGCTGAGCAGGTACAAGAGGTATTAGTGGAAGACAATTTGGTGATGGTGATCGTAATGCAGTTAGAATTAGAACAGTCATGGAAAAGAATAATGACAAAAAAAGAGTACACATTTTAAATTGGGGAAAACCCAGTTTTCTTAAGCTTAGATGAGATTTAGAAAAAGAGAAGTGAAACAACTATCTTAAAGTAAATTAATGTCAGAGAAGTAGGATGCATTCTGGGAAAAACAGGGCTCAGATCAGATCAGTGCAGGATAAGGCGAAAAAGAAAAGTTTATGTCAAATATTAGAAGACTCAAGCACAAAGACGAGAGAAAATACTCGTGAACTCAAGAAGAAAATCATGAAAACAAAGAGACGGCATGAAAAATTTGGCAAGTAAAAGCAAAGAAAACCGAACTTTCTTTCTGATTACATCAAGGGCAAGAGGAAGGTTGTTTAGAGAAAATACATAACTTGGCATTTGGAGGCATAAGGCACGGATATGGTTCTTAATAAATTCTTTGCATCTGTCTTCACAAAAGAGGAAAACCATGTAGAAATTGCAGTTGAGGAGAAGGACGTATGAAATATTAGATGATAGAAACATCATGAGAGGAAACATTAGGGGTTCAGCATTTTTAAACGTAGATAGATTACCAAGTGCAAATGAAAGGTTTCATAGACTGCGAACAGAAACAAGAGATGAAATGGTACAGGCTCCGATTATTGTTTTCCAATCTTGTCTGGCTACAGGAATAATATTGGAGGACTGCAACATTGTACCATTACTTAAAAAGGACAGGTTGACTAATTACAAGTTAATTGGCCTAAACTCAGTGGCGTACAATCTATTCGAAAAATTCTGAAGGACAGTATAAATCCTCATTTGGAAAGACACAGATTAAACGAGGACAGTAGCTTGGATTTCTTAAAAAGTAAGATTTTTTTTTAAATTAATTTCACTGAATATTTTTGAGGAGACAACAAGGTGGAGGAGGGGGTTGCTATCAAATATAGCTCAGTTGTTGTAGTCTGCATGAACCTTAGTACAGTTTGTAACAAGACTCCACAGGATACCCTGGTCAGGAAATTAAAAACACTTCAGCTAAAGGTAAGTGGCATGTTGGGTTCAAAACTGGCTTATGGCAGAAAGCAAAGGGTTAGAGTTAATGATGTATTTATGACTGGAAGATTGTGCAGAGTTCAGTACTAAGCCTCTGCTTTTTTGAGAATTATGTCAATGATTTAAACTTAAATTTAGCGAATATCATGACAATGATGACACAAATATTAACATGCATTTGATACTGAGAAAGAAAACTATAGACTGCAGCAAGATATCAATGGCCTGGTCAGCTGGACAGAAAAGCAGCAAATGAAATTCACTTTGGCAAGTGTGAGCTAATGTATGGGGAGGACATAAATTTTGTGCCTCTACATAGAGAAGAGAAGAGCAGCAATGCTGGAAGAAAGCCAGCTCCAACTGCCCTAAGTCATACTGCATCCTGACTTCAACATTTGTCATTGGTGGGCAATTTTGAGAATTCCTTACTTTTCAGCAAAAAATTACAATGATTCAAAGAACTGGCCATTACTTTCTCAATGCAACTAGGACATAAGCAATAAATGCAGCCTTGCTAGCATCACCCAAATTCTGAGACTCCTACAAAACGCGTTCCACTTTGTATATTCAGATATCAGCCTTGGTTCAGTGTAATTACTCTTGGCAAAACAGTCATCAATTCTAATCCCACTCCAAAAATCTTTAGCATATAACCTAGGCGGACACTGCAGTGCAGTGTTAAAAGTTCACTGTTCAGTCAAAGGTGCTCTTGCTCTTCAATTGATTGTAAAATATCCCATGGCACATAGAGGAACAAAGGGTTCACCTCGTTTCCTACCCATTATTTATGCATCAATCACCAAACAGCAGATTATTAACTTAACTTACTACTGTTTACAGGATCTTCTGTCAATAAACTGACTGCCACTTTTACCCATTTTGCAAGTGACCAGAGAACAAAAAACACTTCGTCGGCTGTGAAGAGTTTTTTGAAAATTCTAAAGTTATCAAAGGTTCTATATTGATGTACGTTCTTTGATTGTTTTTAAACAGAACCAACCTTCTCTTCCAAACAAAGTCCAACACAAAGTGAGTTACCTTCACAAAACAAAGGAGAAAAGTCCAATGCCACTTTCCAATATCTGACACACTTCTAATAAGGAGATGAAAACACCCTTTTTCCATTCTCTGCTCCACAATAACAATGATCCCCAAACCATCATATTATCCAGAATCAAAAGAGATTTATCCCATCTGTACCAAGCTATTCAGAGTGCCAGAAAAAGCTTGAAAATTATAACTCAAATAATTCATTATTTAATCCTTGGTTATACATTAGTTCTACTGCCAAAAAAAGTTATCAAGAGACAGACTACATACAGCCAGTGTCCTTTAGCCTACTGATGGCATTTGATAGCAGCCGAACACAGCCCAGGAAGCCAGCTCCCTGTTTCTTATGTATTTTCTTGTGATTCCATATGCTTATAGTAATTGAATCTGCTTTTCCAATGTACCTGTAAAGGAAGAAGTTATGATTATGAAAACAAAAGCATCATCACAAACAACTTAAGATGCTGAAAAATTCTGAAAAGCTCAATTAATGTGTTTCCCATTTCTCGGATTAATTTTGTTACATTTAACTAGTGCTTTGGGGAATAACTGAAACTAACTGGCCTTAGAAGGAATACCAGAATAAAGCAGAACTGACAGAAACAGACAGCAGTTGAAAAAGAATAGCTTCAGAAAGAGGATGGACCCATTTGGGGAAACTCAAGTCATACTAGAATAAATCTGGTGTGTGTATGTGTAAATGCAAGGGAGCATGGTAAGTAAGTTAGTGAGCTGAAAAAACAAGCAGCTATAGGGGAACTATGACATCATGGCAATAATGGAGACATGGCTTAAACAAGAGAAGAAATGGACACAATACTCCTGGCTACAATGTTTTCAGAAAACATATAAAACGAAAAAAAGGTGGCAGGTCTGAGCAAAGAGACTGGTCAAGGAGTAAAAGGGGATGATGTGCTTAAGAATTCAAAGACAAAATCCCAGTTACTTTGACTTAAGAAACTGTGTAGTTGTTACAACATTGAGTGTATACTATGGGCTACCAACATTGGGAAGCAAACAGAAGTACAAGTTTACAAGCTGTAGTAAAATGGAAGAACTAGAGAGTTTATTTTCTGTTCATTCGCTGGATGTGAGCATTACTGGCAAGGTCGGCATTTATTGACCATCCATAACTGGTCATGAGGAGGTGTTGTTGGGCTGCCTCTTTGAATCACTGCAGTCCATCTGATGTAGATACATCAAAAGTGCTGCTTGGAAGGGAATTTCAGAATTTTGACTCAATATTAGAGAACCAACAGCAATATAGCTTTAAATCAGAATGGTGTGTGACCTAGTGGGAGCCTGGAGGCGGTGGTATTCCCATATGTCTGCTGCACTTGCAGTTTTATGTAGTAAAGGCTGCAGGGTTTGTAGCTGCTGTTAAAAGGATCCTTAGAAAGTTACTGAAGTGAATTTTGTAGATGGTACACAACTTTGTCACTGAGCATTAATGGTGCAGGAAGTTAAGTGTTTACAACAGTGGAAGGGATGCCAATCAAGTGGGCCATGGTGTCCTGAATAATTTAGGGATTCTGGAGGCATGTTGCAGCTGTGTTCTTCCAGATAAGTAGGAAGCATTCCAACACATTTGTGACTTGCGCATCGTAGCTGTAGACAGGTTTTAGGAGGTCAGGTGAGTTACACACTGCAGAATTCCAAGCCTCTGACCTCTTGTAACACTGTATTGATACAGTTCATCCATATTATGATTCTAATAACTCCTAAGATGTTGACAATAGGGAATCTAATGACGGTAATGCCATTAAACATCTAAGGGAGATGGTCACACTTTCTCATTGGAAATGGTCCTGCACTTTTGTGATGCGAACATTACTTGTCACCAAGCATCCCAAACCTGAATGTTGCCTGGGTCTTGCTGCTTGTGAGCACCGGCTGCTTCTGTATGAGAAACTGCAAGCATGAAATACCATGCAATCATTAGTGAATATCCCAAATACTAGCCTAATAATGCAGAAAAGATCATTGATCAAGCAGTTGAAAATAGTTGGGCCATGGACACTACCAGGGCAACTTTGCAACAATGTCCTGTAACCGAGATGACTGACCTACCAACAACTACATGCAGCTTCTTTTATGCTAGCTATGATTTTCATCAGTGAAGAAATTTATTTAATTTCTACTGTCCTCAATTTTTCAAGAGTCCTTTGGTACCTTGAGGTCATTCTTACTTGGCCAGATTGGACTGACATGAATTTTGAAGACAGGACATACTTGGGACAGGTTTCCAGTGTTGCAGCTATACTGGAATAACTAGGCTAAGGTTTGTTCTAGAGCACAGGTCTTCAGTCATAGAGGGGGATGATGTCAAGGCTCCCATCCTTAGCTGCATCGAGTACACAGACCTGATTTTTGATATCACATAGACAGAGAATCAAATTGGCTAAAGACTAGCATTTCTGATTCATGGGATTAAGCAGGCACTGACCTTGGAAAACAAAACTAAGAGATAAGAAGCAGAGAGTAGTCATGAACAGTTGCTTTTCAGACTTTTGGATTGCGTGCATAGATAATTCCCAGTGGTCAGTGAGGGCACAAACAACCTTTTTGAGATGTTTGAAACCGGACGAACGTACAAAAAATCGTTTCAAAGTATGCAGATGATATAAATTTGGAAACAAACAGCGAGGAGAACAGTAACAGACTGGTGAAATGTACAGACACATGGTAAATCAATTTTGAATGTGATTTAGGCAATGTAGACTAAATGGCACAATGTTAGAGGGGATAAGTGTGCAAAAAAGTGTTAAAGTAGTAGGTCAAGTTCAAAAAGGCTGTTAAATATCAAGATCCTGGGCTTTACAAATAGAGGGATACAGTACAAAAGCAAGAAGGTTGTAATGACTTTATAAAACATCAGTTAGGCTTCATTGAGAGTACTGCAATTATTTCTGTGAACCACACTTTATAAAGGATCTTATATCTTTGAGAAGGTGCACAGAAAATTGACTAGAGTGGTATCAGAGATCAAGGATGAGTTGTAGAGAGACTAGAGAAACTGAGTTTGTTCTTATTAAAGTGTAGAAGGTCAAGAGGAAAGCTGATAGTGCTATTCAAAATCATGAAAGACTCTGATAGTTTCTATTTATTTACTCGGTATCCAGTGGCAGAAGGGTAAGCAACCAAAGAATACAACTTTAATGTAATGGGCAAAAGAGCCAGAGGGGACATGAGGAAAAGAAAAATCATACAGTGAGTTATAATGATTTTGAATACAATGACTTGAAAGATCAATGGTAGCAGAGTTGATGATAATTTTCAAAAGGGAATACTTCAAGGAAAAAAACTTTTTCAGGGCTATGGGGAAAGAACAAGGGAGCAGAATCAATTAATTCTTCAGAGAGACAGCACAGACACAAAAGGCCAATTGCTACCTTCTGTGCTACATCAATGATTCTATGACACCAAGACAGTTTCGTTGCATATAAACACAACGAATCTAAAACAAAAACAGTCCATTTTCCCACTGATGGTGACTACTTTTATGCAAGATTTTTACACACTTCTAGCTGCACCTTCATCAAAACTGAAACCATCACCAAACATTTTAATGCAAGCAACTAATGATGACAAAAATCAAGCCACATGAAATCATTCCCGTCTTCTGGTAGCAAGCTTCAGAAATGGTATTTTTTAAATATCGACTTGCTTGAATGTATTATGATACACCTCCATTACTATCGAATCCTGAGGTGGAACTTGAACCTGGACCTTCTGACCCAGAGGTAGGGACACTACCACTGCACCTCAAGATCCTATTTCTTTTTTAAACAAATGACAACAGCATATACACTCAGATGCTAACACTTTAATGATATTGCTGGCTGGCTCCAAGTTGGCCGCGGCAACAATTAGGATGAAATATCAATGATTAAAAATGAATTGGGTTATCATTGAAGATGGAATGTGAATCTACGATCACTGTGTTCTTTAGAATAGTAAATTAATGATCACTAAATTAGTCAAAAATATTTTTGTGCAAAAATGTAGATCAGACATTGGTTCACAGCTAATTGTTCCACACTAAGCGTGTTAATCATCTTCAATGACGTAAGACCTTAAAAACAACACACTTTCTTTCTGCAAGTTTCATTTTGCAATTGCAATATCCAAAGTATCACACACATTTATCAATTATAAGTATGCAAAAATCTGAAGTTAAGTCAATATGTCTTAACATTTAAGCAAATTGTTAGAATTATGCACTCAGCACATGTTCAAGGTGCCTAATTTAGATTTAATATGAATTAAATTTGTTAATTCTTTCAATTCTATTACTGTACAACAAAGACTTTGTTAACTAGCTGATAGAACACAAAAATCAGGCAATGAGATAAGTTTGTGAAATTCAGTGTCTCATGATTTCAGAAAGATGTTAGCATTGTATTATTCAGCTTTTTACACCTTTCCTGACTCTCTCTACCTTGCTTTCCTGCTTTCAGGCAATCCTTAAAATCAACCTCTTTGATGGGTTTTTGTCATCTGAACTAATCTGCTCAAATGGACTAGTGTCATACTTGGGTTTTATGTCCCAAGAACCTAGGGATGTTTCACTGTATAGATGCTATACAAAATGAGCTGTTGTTCCTGAACAACACTTTCTTACAGCACAAGGCAAATTAATGTTAGTTAAGGGAGCATAAAGCTTGACTTTTGACATTTTCCTGATGGAGATAGATGGAACAGCAGGAGCAGGAGTCTAGACTGATCTTTCTGGATCAGAAAGTTTATTCATACAAAGTAACTGTATCCTATATTGTGAAAATACCTAACTAAAAATGAAAATAAGATGAAAATAACTAAATGTGACCCAAATTATGTCCTACTCTATCAACCACGTATTACCAATAATAGTCCCTCTCTGTTGGTGCCTATCCAAATACAAATACGACAATGCCATCATTACATTCTGTATTAAATATTTCTACATAAATTAATTTACCATTTTGTGTAGATGAAGGATAATTCAAATTCTGATTCAAACGCTGGTGCACCTTTTGAAATTTCTGTGCTTTTAACATAATTACACTATACAATAAAAACTAATTTAAACTATAGTTATAGCCCCCAAGGCCCAAGAATTATAAGAAACTCCAAAAACAGAAACTGCACTCACAAGTCATAGTGTTGGTTCCATTTTGGATCAAGCGTATTTTTCACTGTGTCTGTTGAATGACACTGTCCGGAGCCATCTACAATAATTTTGGCAAAAGGGTCAGGTAATCCTATTCAAAGCAAAAAAGAATTATTCTTATTTATAACAGAGGAACTGCTAATAATCTAGCAACACTGCAAGTAATTGGAAACTGCATTCTGACCAACACTCATACGTGAAACTCTAAAGTCTTCATGGATCAGAATCATAAATAATTTTGATCACATTTCAGCTTCTATTAGTCTCCAATCTAAAATTACAGATCCAAATATTGCTCAAAGCATTGGCACAGAAACTTCATTACAATCCTTTGTGGGTACATTGAAAATATGCAAAGAATGATTCTGTGATACATACTGCAAGGATACTTCGCTGAATTGAGTAAATTAACAAAGTCCTGGATTCATGATGCACTGAGTTCAACAGTTCAAAGTTAGCTTCCCCCTCCGCTATTCTGTAACATGCCTAAGCTTATAAAGGCCACAGAGAAAGTTTCCAATTCTTGCCAAACCTATATATGTTAGTCCCATTACACATTTCACTCTTCAGACCCTTCTGAGGAAGAGTCACCGGACCCGAAACGTTAACTCTGCTTTTTCCTTCACAGATGCTGCCAGACCTGCTGAGCTTTTCCAGCAACTCTGTTTTTGTTCCTGATTTACAGCAACCACAGTTCTTTCGGTTTTCACTCTTTTGAGAGCCTTGGCCCTTACCCACTGGAACCAAACTAAAATTTCATGGTTTCCCTGTTCGTCTTTAGTCTTATTCAAGAAGTGGGTACAATGGGAACTGCGTTTGGCACTCACTTGATCTTAAAATACAAGTCTTCAGATTCCTGATATAACTACATCTAACAAAACCTTTCTTTATTGCCTACATTTTGGTGAGGCATGATTACTAAGTTCTACCAATTACTTGAGTATGAAACACAATATGATCAGGGAACAGAATATTTTGGAAAACAAGATCTAAATTCAAGAATTTAATATAAATCAGACTTCTCTCTAGATCGATGCTTGGAATGTGATTTAGAACTTTAAAACTGCAAGCTAGTTAAGATACCTAATGAATGGAAATTTCTCATGGTAGTTAACAGCTGTTAATTAGCTAGAAAGAAGTTGCCAGAATAAGTGTTAATTATTGTAGCAGGAAGTTGATTTAGCCATTCTAATTTAGATGTGAGTCAAATGTTTCTGTATAAGTATACAGTGCTTACTACAACACAGTGGGAACAGTGTGTTTGACTGAAGCTGGGGAATTTGTGCAGAGAAGTTAGATTTCATTGTGTTTAGTTTACCTCCACTGGTTGGTAAGAGGTCCTCTGTCTCCAAGCTGGAAGACTGAAATTTGGTATTTCTTTACTAAATTAATAACAGGGATTTACTAAGTTAATAAATGAATAACTAGTCAAATCAATAACTAAAAGTTAGATAAACATGGGAAGGGCAGGTGGTATGTCACAACGGCAATACGTGGGAGTTTGGAAATAGCATTCCAATCCTGGACAACAAAATCTGAAGAAAACATCTATAGCTGAGCAACATCAACTCAGGGTTGCTAAATTGGAGCTTCATACATTGCAGCATAAGAGATTGTTTGAAATTTTGATCCAGGACCTAATCCTGGATGGTCAGAGTCGGAAAGGAGTGACTGTGAATTATGCAGATCCAGCATCTAGTAATGGAGGAGTCTTGGTTGTTAACTTTGAAAATCATTTACAAGATTTGTTGTACTCATGTGCAAGAAAACTAAGACTACAGGGTTGATGAGCAAACTGATGATAGCTTTGTGGTCTAGGAACATATTCAAGGGGGAGTAATGAAAAGCAATATGATCATGATCGAGGGCATTATCGCCAGGGAGACAGACATTTTTTTCCCAAGCTGTGACTGAGAGGTCCAAAGATTGTGTTCTTGCCTGATGCCAGAGTTAAAGAATTCTCTTTTTGACTGGAGACGATCTTGGAACAGGAGCGGGAAGATCTAACTGGTGCGGTCCACATAGGAAGCAACAACTTTGGCTAAACTAGAGACAATGGTCTGTTCAGAGAGAATGAAGAGATAGAATTAGTTTAAAACACAATCTCAAAAGTAATAACATCTGGTTTGTTGTTTGGTTCATACACCAATTGAAATACGTCTAGTAGATCAGAGAATTAAAAGCTTGGCTCAAAAACAGATGTGGGATGAAGGGGCTTCAATTCAATTGGCATCAGTACTGGGGAAAGAGGGTGCTGTTTGGTTGAGATGGGTAGCATTTAAAACAGGCTGGGCTCAACATCCAGGTGAATTATATAACTAAGAGAGCTGCAGGCAGGCTTTTAAAGTGAAGATGGGCAGGATGGTGAAGCAATATCTGGAAATCTGAAAGAGAAATATTAAGGCAATAGAGCAATTTGACTAAAGACAAGAAGAATGAGATATGAAGGAACAAGAAGTTTAACAGCGATTGTTCATCAGCATGAAGTCTCTGCAAAAACTAATAAAAAAACTAAAATTTAAGATTTTTTATCTGAATATGCAAGTCATTTGTAATCAAACAGATGAAGTCGCAACAGAATTATATGGTTTAGATCTAAATGCCATTACAGCGACATTATAGGCTAGGCAAATCAATTGGTCAAAGATAGTCTTAAAGATGCATTTATAGAATACTTTTACCAGTTTTTTTGCAAGAATATATTATGGAACTGAATCTAATAGTGTGCAATGAAAATGCTGTAACTAGTCACTGCATAACGAAAAGGTTCTTTGAGAAAGGGTGATCATAATAACTGAATTCCATCTTAAGTTTCAGAGTAATATACTCCTGTCCAGAACAAGAATCTTAACCTTAAAGCCAATTACATAGGTATGAAGAAAAAGCTGTCTAAGAGTAAACAGACTAAAAAATATGCTGTTAAAGACAGTGAAAAACATTAAAAGACATGACTCGTGACATCCAACAAAAATACGTTTCATTAAACTATACAAACTTAGCAAGAAAGATCCATCTGTGGTTTAGTAGAGAAGTTAAGGTTAGTATTAGATTAGAAGAGTCTTTCAAAAGTTACAAAAGGGTAGTATTAAGCCTGAGGATTAGGACTGCTCTAAAAACTAGCAAAGGATGAGCAAAAGGTTGCTCGAAAAATTATCTAATGCTAGTCCATCAAGAGATAGAGACAGGAGAAATTATGATTGGGAACAAAGAAGCAGCAGTGATGTTAACCAAATATTTTGTGTCTGCCTTCACAATAAAAGACACATGTTACACATCAGAAGTGGCGATGTCAAGAGCTATTAAGAGAAGAAACTTAAGGCAATTAATTAAAGTTAAAAAAAAATGTATTGGAGAAACCTGACGGACTAAAAGTCAACAAATTCCCAGAACTTCGTGGCCTTCCTATGGTTCAAAAAGAGATACTGGATGCAATGGTTATAAATTTTCAAAATTCTCTGGATCTTAGAATCGACTCAGCAGATTGAAAGCTGGCAAATGTAACTGTTATTCAAGAAAGAAGAGAGACAGAAAAAAGCATACTCAGCCAAATTACCTTTAGTCATTGTTTATAATATATTCCTGTATATTCGCAAAAACTGAAACTGCTGGAAAAGCTCAGCAAGTCCGGCAGCATCCAGGGAGAGAAATCAGAGTGAGTGTTTCAGGTCCAGACCGACATGTTAACTGTGCTTTCTCTCCAAAGATGCTGCCGGACCTGCTGAGGTTTTCCAGCAATTTTTGTTTTTGTTTCTGATTTCCAGTGCCTGCAGTTCTTTTTTCTGTACTGAAATATGTTATTGTGAATGAGTGTCCTTTTATCCTTTAATCTCCTCGAAGAAAGTTTACACTTGAGCAGAAAGAGAAAAAAGAAATATAGGAATAGAGAACACTCCTGGGCTCTGTAAATTGACACTAATGATTAAAGTAACATGAACAGACATGTGGTTCTCAGAATATATTGGCACTATGAACTACATACGCTGCCTTTTCAGGATTAACTCTATCATCTGTGTTTTTGCTGCATTGCTGACAGCATTAATGTGCTCCTTTTATCAAAAAAAAACACATAATGCAGACCACCAAAATTAATTTCTCTACTTCTATTTAGAACAGAAATACTTCACCTTTTCCTAAACAAATGCTTGTATGACGACTCCCATTCAGTGTTATTCTTAAGATTATTTTAGTGGAATGAGTAGTTGTAATGGTAGCCTGTTCCTCCTCATTGGAAAATTCCAAGTCGCCACTGCTGCACTTAACATCTTTGCGCTACATCTCAAGATTAACCTACAACTATTTCTAGTTCTTTATCAGTAACCTGTCAGTTTACAGCTAAAGTGGTAAATCTAGCATCATCTGGAAAGGTAACCAAGCATCTTTTGTAGATTTGTACATGTTGCAGGTTATCCTTTGCTAATCACTGGAGCAGATCTGCGTGTGATCTTTGGACCTAACTGTTAAGTCCTACAGCGGTATATTCTCAAACCATTTCCCGAGCCTTTACAACCTAGAATTAAGCCTCCTGTAAATTTAATTTTATGAACTTGTCACAACTTAATTGGAAAGAGTGCACCAATAATTCTTCACTGTTCCATAAACCATCACAAAATGTATAAACATATAAATTCCCAATGAAATCACCAAAGTGATCAATTCGCCTGATAGACTACTAGACAGGACAAAAGCAATTTACAGTAACAGAAAGATAAATCAATTTATTCTAACACATTTAATTTTAACATGAGCAGAGAAGAAGAGGGGATTTTTAATCTACAATTATGCACTTAAACTATATTCTTTCAATAAAACCCAAATGAACATGCACTCAATCATGTTTAAGATAGGCTAACGACAAATGGTTTAAACTTAAACCATGGGTTGAAAAAGAATAAAGACGAGGTAAATAAATTCCAAAGGTCAAAAGCCCACACTACAAGGTGTAGAGTTATTTTTCTCACATTCCTTTCAATTTTAGCAATGACATGCTGTTGCCTGTACGGTGACTGTTGTTTTTCAATTCAATAGTTGATCATTTAGACCAAGATCTATCATTGTTAGCATTATTTACGTTAAGCTCTCTTGGGTTTCTGTACTTCTTTCACATGGAGAGAGACAGAGAGAGAGAGGGAGGGAGGGAGGGAGGGAGAAAGAGATGCTTTCTGACTGGATGTTTTTCTCTTCTTCTGCTGCTGCCCTGGAACATAGAGCTTTTTACCACTTAGCAGCTCAACCAATCAGAAAGCTGTTTCAGGAAAAATGTGCTGCTAAGTCTCAAATTCTTCCTCTACTGCTTCAAAAAGCAACATTACTGCACAGCTCAACAATATATGCAGCACTTGATTTTCAAGGTGCAAAACTTTCCTTGTATTCCATTTGGAGCAGTCCAAATTCCCTTACAGTCCCCAAAATGAAAAATACATGATTTCTTGTGATTTCATAGTCACAGTAACATCTTTAACAAGAAGAACTACATCTTTGTTTTAAACAACTATCCTCAGGAGATTTTCTGCAGATGACTGTGAAATTACCATCAGCTGCATGGTGGATTACAAATATACTTTATTTTTATAAATGACATAACAAATGAATTTATACCAATTTTCTTATGTACTATTCAAGAATTGCCAATATTCTCAATGGAATTTATGAACTGCATATTGTATTTTTATTAAAGGTCTCCTACATATATTGCCTCAGTAAGGTACAGATCTCTAGATCCTGCATTATATATCATTAACTCATGTCAATTATCATGTCGATGCTCCTCCAGTACCACATCAACTTTCTCTTCTTCATTTGAATTTTCTGATTAACCTTTGGAATGTATCTGAGCTGGTGCTTGTGTGGTCAAAAATGCTTGGCGGGTGCTTATATGAAGTACTGGCTTGCTTCTTGTCTCAGTGACAGGCAAAGCATCTTTGGAGGCCTATGTAATGAGAAAACAAATGGTGAAGATAATGTAATTTACAAATAGATCTGAACATAGTAGTAAAGGCACTACAGTGAGAAGCATGCTGTTTGTGGACACGTCATTAGGCGAATGAATTTGAAAGTTAAGTAAGTGTAAAACATTGAAGAATACTTGCCTTTCATGTCTGTCACAAAAGCCAACAAGGTCTCCCTTGCCCACGTGCTTTAGAGTCACCACCCTAATGATGTCTTGAGCTGTCTTCTCATTTTGGGTCAGACTACAAGAAGGACCTTGCCATTGTGCATTCACCAGCTGTAATTGTGTACAAATTTCACGTTTAAAAGCAGACACCATGTAAGCTTTCAGCATATGGTTCAACCTGAGTGGCTTACCAGTGGCCAGCTTTCAGTCCACCTGCTTTGAATGAGTGATTGCACAACATGAACATAGCATTTTAACTTGAAGTATAACATACAGCAGTCCATAGTGTTATAAAAATCTTTTTCCATGTCAGCCACGTTCAGGCTGTAGCATCAAAATTATGGAAGTTTTGTCACTCAATTTAGTAGAGCTTACTATGGTCCATGGTCATTGTGGGTGCTGTGCCATGCTTGGATTAGGTGCCTGGACCATTAATAGCATAGGCAAGACTTAAGTTGTCAGCTGTGGGCAATCTCACTTTGGCACATTTCCTCACGGCAGAAAGTATCTTCCTTATCAGCTCCCATGACTTACATGTACTTGGTTGCAGAAGGGGAAACTCCTCTGCCTGAATGATGTCAATCCTGCATTATCTTGCCTCTTCCAACAGAACAGGTAAAGTCTCCTTACCAAACCTGCAGATCTGCACATGACCTTGAAAAATATCCCAATTTTGGAGCAAAGTTTGCAAACATCAATTGTTTTGAATCTATGAGCAATAGCTGAGAATACCAAATCCAGCAAAGTTCGCTAACCAGAGATAGCAAGAACTGCAGATGCTGGAGTCAGAGACAACACAGTATGGAGCTGGAGGAACCCAGCAGGCTAGGCAGCATCAGAGGAGCAGGAAAGTTGACGTTTCGGGTTGGGACCCTTCTTCTTCAAAAAAAATTCTAACCACTCCCTTTGTACAATTATTGCTGGTTTTAGGAACACGCATATGAACAAACTAACAAACAGCAGGTGTAAGTCATTCAGCTCCTGAGCCTGCTCCTACATTCAATAAGACCTGATTGGATTGTAACCTCAAATTTGCATTCCTGCCTACCCTCGATAACCATTCACTCTCTTACTTAATAATTATCTACCACTGCCTTAAAAATATTCAAGGGCTCTATTTCTACTGCTTTTTACAGCAAGACAGTTCCACAGACTTCTGATTCTCAGAGAAAAAAATTCTCCGAATCTCTGTTTCAATAGGTGACCTCTAATTCTTGATTCTGCCAAAAGAGGAAATATCCTCTCTACATCTGCTCCCATCTTTTGTGTTTCAATGAAGTCACCTCGTACACTTCTTAACTCCAGTGATTACAAGCCGGGCCTATCCAATCTTTCCTCATAAGACAACTCGCTCATTCTAGATATTAGTTTGGTAAACCATCTCTGAACTGCTTCCAGCACTTGCTTAAAGGAGGTGACAAATAGGTGACAATGTATACAGTACTTCAGGTGTGGCCTCACCGATGCCCTATATAACTGAAGCATTCTGTATTCAATTCTCTTCACGATAAATGATAACATTCTATTAGCTTTCCTAAATACTTGCTATACCTGCATACTAACCTTTTGGATTCATGCATGAAGAAACTTCACATCTCAGAGCTCTGCAATTTCTCACCAAGTAGACAACGTGTTTTTTAAATCTTTCCTGCCAAAATGGAAAATTTCATGTTTTCCCACTTTGTGTTCCATTTCCCACATCTATGCCTACGCATTAAACTTATTTATATTATTTTGTAGCCTTCTAATACCTCTTCACAACAAATTCTGTGGCTTTGGCAAATTTGGCAACCATTTCTCCTCTTCCTTTATTCAAGTTATTTACATAAATTTAAACAGTTGAGGTCCCAGCACCAACACCTGTTACATCTTGTCAACCTAAAAAAATTACACCTACTCTCTGCGTCCTGTTAGCCAGACAATCGTCTATCCATGTCAGTAAGCTAGTCCCTATATAATAAGCTTTTATTTTCCACAGTATATCTTTTGGTATGACTCATCATCATGTGTTCTGCAAATCTAATACATCCACAAGTTCCTCTTTCTCTAGAAAACATTACCTCCTCAAAATACTCCAAGAGATTAGTTAAACATGATGTGCTTTCACAAAACGATGTTGATTCTGCTCAATTACCTTGAACTCATCTATGTGTCCTACTTTCACTTCAATAATAGCTTCTAATGTTTCCCTGATGACAGATATTAAGATCATTGACTTGTAGCTTCCTGCTTTGGTCTTCTTCCATTTTTGAAAAGGAGGTAGATTTGATGTCTTAAAGTCTAATGGAACCATCCCATAATTTTGGAAAATTAAAACCAACTATCTCAATAGTCATTCTTTTCATAGTCTATGATGAAGCCCATAACTAGGCACTTGTCAGCCCGCAGATCCAACAATTTGCTCAGTACAACTTCTCTGTTGATCATGAATTTCCGGAGATCCCCCCTTGTTTCCACTTTCTGATTTATTGCTGCTCTAGCATGTAACATATATAGTGATGACTGATGCAAAATACTTGTTCAATTAATCTTCCATTTCTTATGTTTCATTATTAATTCTCCAGTCTCACTTTCTCTACAATGAATACTCAGTTGGTCAATTCTTTACTTTTTAAAATATTTACAGGGATTCTTCCTATCTGCTTTTATATTTCCAGCTAGCATTCTCTCATAATACAATTAAATGTTGTGGAATGGGACCCAAATATGTCAGAATTGAGGAACTGGCCCTCTATTCTTTATAATCTCAAATTATAGAAAACAAAATTTAATACTTACTGAAGAAATCCTTCTTGGCCAGATTTTTCGCACACAACACTACAAGACAAAAATATGAAATTCAAGGTTATTTCTCCTTCAAACCATCACCCCTTTTCCAAATATAATAACTCACATTACGGTAGAGCTTCGCAAGCACTGAGAACTTTTTGATTCCTTTCTGAAGGGGTCAGTCATTAAGTAAATGACAATGACTCCCAACAGAACATCATAAATAATAAGAGATAACAAGGTGTAAGATCTGGATGAGCACAGCAAGCCAAGCAGCATCAGAGGAGCAGGAAGGATTTTAACACCACTGCGAAGCCTAGCCTTCCTACTCCTCTGATGCTGCTTGGCCTGCTGTGCTCATCCAGCTCTACACCTTGTTATCTCAGATTCTCCAGCATCTGCAGTTCCTACTATCTCTGAAACAATCAGAAATAATAAGGAAGTTTTAAACCAATTCCAGGTGCTCTGTTTAACCAATTCTAGTTTAGTTAATACATAAAAAGTTATTTCAATCATTTTTAAGTGTAATATGATTGAAGGCTGCCACACAAACTTGATTAAAATCTAGATAGTAGTGCAAATCTACACTCCACCACTTGGGGTCAGCAAATACACAGATTTGCAACAGTCAATAAAAAGCAACGGGTCAGAAAATTAAGGATTTGTCAGAATAGGGCATCTCAAATTCAAAATAGTCATGCTCAATGGTTACTAAGTTGTCTAATTTGAATAATCAGAAATAATTTTGATTCAAGAAAGTATTCACATACAAGTTTGCATCTCACACCTGTTTTGCTTTAATTTTCCATTCTTATTGCAAACATAATTCTGAAAATGAAGTGGAAAAAAAACTACATGGGACAGAATTCAATGGAATACATAACCAGAAGCAAAGCCATTCAGCCCACACCAGAATGAAGTGCACATGCAATTATCCCATTAACTGCAAACATAACCTTCTCTTCCATTCTCCAGTCTCCCTCAAATTCATCTATACTATTTGCCTCAGCCATTTCCCACGGTAATGAGTTCCACTTTCCTACTATTCGCTGCGTAAAGTAGTTCTTCCAAATTCTCTCTTTGATCCCTTGGTGACTATCTGACATTGACAGGTCTAATTTTGCTCTTCCCTACATATGAAGACACTTACTCTGGGTCTATCAAAATTTTTATTCGGTCATCTCTCAGTTGGACTTTTGAAGAGAAACCTTTTATAATCGGTTTCCCATTAGAGATGCAAAGATGTACCTGATACCATCATTGTCAATAATTTTTGTAGCTACTCTAATGCCTCTGTTTCTTTTTATACGGTGGTTATTGAAACTTCACACAGTACTCCAAGCGTGGTCTAACCAAGATTTGAAGTAAGTTTAGTATAATCTATTTTCTTTTCAATTCTGGACCTTTAGAAATAAACTTTAGTGCTTTTTTTCTTAAATGACTTTAAACTAATTCACCTCATTTTTTAGTGATTTGTTTGCACTCACAGATCCCTTTGCTTCTCTACTCAAGACTTCTATTTTCCATAAAGTCATCACCTTGTTTTTCTTACCATGATGTGATACCCCACACTTATAATTCGTAAATTAATTTCAACATATGTCCATGTGGCAAGTTTAATGTCCTCCTGTAATTTGTTCTAGTCTTCATTACACTGGGTAACTGCCCATACTCCAACATTTACTATCATCTGCAAGCTGAGAAAGTGTGCATTTTTTTAATAAACTTGTGAACACATGTCCCTTTTGCCGATGTTTGCGGGGCTCCCCTTTCTTTCTAGTGCCTTTATGAATAATTCCCCCTTAGGCCTATATTTCTTATGCCATATTGAAACCAGCTAGCTATCCATTCTGCTCCTTGACCCTTACTCTACTTGGTATAATTTGAATAGACCGCAATATGACTCGTCAAAGGCCGTTTGGAAATCTAAGTAAATTATATCAACTATAGTATTCTTCTCTACTCTCTTAGTTAACTCCACAAAAATTAAACTAGGTTGGTCAGGTAAAACTTTGCCTTTTGAATGTCATACTGACTTTTCATTATTAAATTTTCAGCCCTTAGCTGTTGTACTATTTTCTTCTTGATTTGGAGTTCCATTATTTTGCTTGCCACTAATATTAAGCAGACTAGTTAAAGTTCCCCTAATACATTTCAGCCTCTTTCTTAATTACAAGCATTACATTTGCCATCTGCCTGTCTTCTTGTACTACGTTTTTCTAACAACTTATTAAATCTATGTAATACTGCCTGTGCTATCTCTGCCCTCGATTATTTTACAAAGTGTGCATGTAATCCAGCCTGTCAATAGTATATTAGTATATATAATAATATTTATTATTTCTCATTTTTATTTAAACTGGACATAAAAATGCAACTTTAAATGGACGTAGAAAGAATGTCATGGCACTGGAATGACGCTCAATAGAATGAAAGACAGATAGTTTAGAATTATTATTCTGATTTGTTGATTAATGCAATGCATGATGTTTATAAATCTATGAAAAACAGGGATAGTCCTTAACATTTTTTCAGAGTAAAACATATTCCAAACATTTCTACTGCAAATATTTATCGATTGCTGAAAGAATGTACCATTTCAGTATAACATGCAAAACCAATTGATGCATAAAAGTATGGGGAATGTGGAACAAGACCACCTTCTGGAAAAATAACTCCAAATCGCAAGATATTAAACTAAGAGATGAAAAACATCAGAATTCTAATAATCAACATTCCTGTACCCTTTAGATCAGTATTTTCCAGCTATATAGAGGTGGATTCACAAGCTGTTAACTGGAAGAATATACATAACAACATTTGGGTTCAAAGGGCATTGTATTAGCTCAAATTTGTGAAGGGTTTCTTCAAGTTCGTAGTCTAAAGGTTAACTTTCAGATTTGCTCTAGAGCCTGCCTTGACAAAAGAAACTGAGATTCTGAACTCAAATCAACATACTACTTGCGAGCAACAGTGAATTTATGATCAGGGATCGGATCTGGGTTTTATAACGATATATAGTAGAGTCCAGACTTAATGAATCTAGTCAAATCCGGGCTAATTCCAGAAAATTGCACAGTGAATTTTAGTCACTCTGAGATAGCAAGAACTGCAGATGCTGGAGTCAGAGTCAACACAGTGTGGAGCTGGAGGAACACAGCAGGTTAAGTAGCATCAGAGGAGCAGGCAAGACGACATTTCGGGTTTACACCCTTCATCAGGGCTGGGGAGGGGCCATGTCCAACCCTCCCTCTCATTCCTGCCTCCTTGACCTGACACTACCTGTCCATCTACTTTCCCACCTTTCCACCTCACCCTTCCCACTGACCGATCCCAACTACCTCCTACCTGCATCCACCTATCACCATCCCACCTACTTTCCCCTGCCCCACCCCTCCTCTCTATTTATTTCCCAGCTCCCTTGCCCCTCCCCCATCCTAATGAAGGATGTAAACCCAAAATATCAACTTTCCTGCTCCTCTGATGCTGCCTGACCTGTGTTCCTCCAGCTCCACACTGTATTGACAGTGCATTTTACAAATTGGTCACGTATGGTAGCAGAGGCAGTTGAGATGGCTAAATGGTTCTGAGCTGCATGAAAAATTTGTTGATCGCTTCTGAAGTGTGAATTGGTTCAATGGCAGCACTGGTGCTGATGAGTCAGAAGGTTGTAAGTTATTGGTTTTGAGCAAATCAACTAGGCTGACACTTCACTCCAGTTGAGGGATAATGCTGCATTGTTGATTGAATACATTAAAAACTTTGTTCAGCTGGATACAAGGGATTCTAATATTATTCGAAGTAAAATAGGGGTGTTCTCTCAGCGTCCCAATTAATTTTTAATCGTTCAATAAACTTAATCAAAACAATTTATCTAATCACATCACCTATGCTGTTTGTAGAATCCCACTGAATACAAATTAGCCGTCGCATTTGTTTCTCAAAGTAATTTTGCAAATAAAATGTAATGAATTGGTTGTACGATGTTTTTAGGAAAACAGAAGACATAAAAAGCAACATATGAACACAAGGTCTTTCTTATAGAGAAACTACTTGTACTTTGCATGAAAAGAACTATCACTTTTAAGACAAAGTTTCATATTCCATAACTGAAGTCATAAATTAGTGTTCAGAAGCTGAAGTAATTATTGACAACCAGAAGAGCGCTGCCTCTTTTCAAAATGTTTCGTAAAACGCCTAAAATAAGGTGACCCATAGCTTCTTTAAGAATACAAACAAAAGCAATTCAATTCATTGCAAACCTTAAATAATGGTTCTTTTTAAAGTTGCTGTTCTGTATTTCAAATAGTGCAGCTGCTACTGCAATAGAGATATTATTGAGCAAATAGGCTGACAGTCAAAGCACAAATATTCCCAAATATGTTCATTTTTAAAGGAACACAGTGATACCTCTAAAGTTGGTTTTAATATAATGAAGCAGTCAGTGGTCAGTGAACCAGCCTGTAACAAATTATAATTATTGCACTAATTTTAAATACCAATATTTAAAAGCTATACAGTACCAATCATTTCTTGATGCACAACAACTTGACAGAGCATACATCTGTTGCTAAAAAGTTTTCATATATAAGATTATATTTTTACTTGCTAATTTTCATGAACTTAATATATCAATGCCTTTAGGATGAGATGCCAGGGTTTACAAAGGACAAACACGAAGTCAATGTTATTTGAACGCGATGAGCACTGTCCAGGATATTAGCTATACTATGAGGTAAAATATGTAAATTTGTATTTTGTCAAGATGCATGCTCACTTGTAGGATTAGAATGACAGCCGTGAGTAGTAACTCTTCCGCAGGTGGCATTTTCACTTACTGCTGGAATTTCATCCTTACTGATGCTCTGGAGAAACTACCTGGTTCACAACATCTCCATTTTCTTAAAGTCATGTCAGTCAGTACAAGAGCAGATTTGTCAATATCTCAAAATGGAACATTAAGGTATATTTACTACATTGGCATCTTTGAATTTTCTCTAAAAATGCTCAGAATGCAAGCTTGGAAATCACAGCACAAAATAGATATTTT